CTAATATAAGTATTATTTTAATTTTTTATATAATTATTTATATTAATTTACATTAATTAACATTAATTTTTTACCTGGTCTAGTTGATAAAGTACAATTTGGCTCTATTTTTCAATAAAGTCCAGTTTCATTCACATTAAATATGTCATTAGGTGAATAATCTATAAGAATATTTTGAAGATTTTTACACATATCATTTAAATCTTCTAAAAGAGCACTTACTGCTTCTTCATGTCTTAAGTAGTATTCAAGATTATGACATTGTTTAAACCTGTCACCTATTCATCTAATTCTTTAAAGTTTTGTATATCAAATAAAGTTGTAAAATTACGTGTTTTTTGTGCTAATAATTCACCATTAATAGTAATATTATTATTTATTTCTTTTTCAACCCAAAAGCTTAAAGCTTTTTCAACTTGTAGAAAATTTAGTTTAATTTGTCTTTTAAGTGAAGCTTCATAAGATTTCAATTTTAAAGCTAACCATTTTTCACTTTCTTTCAAAATATCACATATTATTCTTTCTAAAACATTAAATTCTTAGGCAAGTTCCTTATTTTTAAATATTGGTTTTTGTAATTTTTTTAAACAAATTTTCTATTTTTGAATACCTATAAAGGAAGCTCTAGTTCATTTTATTTCAGAAGTTTTTTCTTTATTTTTAAAAGAATTTTTTTTTCTTTTTCTTTAGGTATTTTTAATAATGATAAATGATTAATCAAAAAAAAAATTGCATGATATAAATTTATACTTTATTGAAATTTTACAATGTATAATTTCCTTTAATAGTAATTTAAGAAAAAATTCGTTATATCCTTTAAATTTAATATAAAAATTCATTATAAAAAAAATTCATTAACAAAAGTCTCATTTTATTATACTTTATGTGAGATTTTCAATTCATTATATATAATAGTAAGTTTTATTATAAAAATTTGTTATATTTAATTATTTTATTTAATAAAATTTAGAACCACTTATATAATTTGCAGTAATAAAAAATTCAGAATATAAAAATTCGCTATAAAGAGCTTTAATTGTAAATGAAATTATGATCAAAGAAAAGGTAAATATAAAAAGACCAAAGACTGATTTACGATTTTATTCTTATACACAATTCTGATATCAAATGAATAACTTTATATCAAAGTATTTATAGACCCAGAAAGATTTATAGATTAATCGAAAAATAAGTATTAATAAAATCAAATATATCAAAATGTATAGTGTGAATTCTATTGCTAAAATATCTATTAGTCAAATTCAAATCATTATTGACTATTTTTTCAAGAATTCTGATACTAAATTACTTAATAATTAGGATAGTTCTATTATTAATTCTTCATCAAAGGAGGATAAACTACCAGAAGTTAAGATAAGTGCATCCACTGAATTTAATTCTTCTAGTTTAGAAACTAATCAGACTAATATATCAGAGGCATAAGTAAATCTTTTAATTACACTTAAAAATAATTTTGATAAAATATTTATGTAAACTTTTGAAGAGGATGAGGCTAGGATAGAAAAGAGAGACAAAACAAAATGTAGTCAAATGTAGTAATTCTAGCTAAGAGATTACATAGCAATTAAGCAAATGATTACAATGATGTATATTTGATGAGAGGCAAATGAAGTTAAGTTAGACAATAAAAATATTTCTAGTGATTCTAAAGAAAAGATGCTAAATGAATCAGATGAATGATAGAGATTATTATTATTGTGATGAAAGATATAAAAGGAAAGCCTTACCAATGATAAGTCCTACTATTTCTCTGGTAACTGCCTAAAAAAATTATTAGAAAAATTGTATACTCATATAATCGCATAGATTGAAATATCAGAGCAGTCATCCTACACCTATAATGTAACATATATTTATTATTTTTAGTAATATAAACCCATTCTAACTCATCCTAACCATCTTTGAAATGCGACAAATATATATGTTATAAATAGGATTTAGATTAACCAAAAAACTAAGTTCCTCAGAAACATACAGTATAAAAAATATAACACAGTCGATCACATGATATATGATGCAAAACTACTAGCCCACGAGTATTACCAAAAATTTTATGATAATGTAACCTGAATTTATTTGTTACTTGGTGTCACATCCTTCCTGTTTTTATTTTTACTATATATTTTAGGGACTTGGAATATTTTTTGGTGTGAAATTCTTATTTGTCACCAGTTATGTGTCACATCCTTAATTTTTAATTCTGGCTAAGTGTCTATAATAAGTTACATTACCGTAAAATTTTTGGTGATGCTCTTGAGATAATTATGTAAAACATCATCCTATTATTACACAGAGTGCAGGATTACTCAAAAAATTGTATAGATTTATTTCTTTTTTTTCGAATCACGTGGATGGCTTATGCAAAAGAAATCTTGTCATGTGGAATCGTTTACCTAAAGATGCGCAATTAATATCAGAAAAATTTTTGCTAAGACTTTTTTGACATATAAGTCAGTCTATCATATTATTAGCTGATAGATTCAGCTTCTATTGGTTGTTAGTATGAAGAATCTTCACGATTATTATATGACACAGCTTTTGAGTGAATTCCGGTAATACTGTAAGTATATATAGATTAACATAGACCTTTATGATGTCCCAAGAATCCATTGCATTACTTCTATTGAGTTTGGGTCATAAAGTGACTCACCATCTTTTCTCTGAATCCCCAGAGAGCTGAACTTTGTTTGGTTTGCAAAGAAGAAATTATAGACTCACATTTGATGTTCCAGTGTGGCTATTCTTTTCACATTAGATGTCATGTAACTTCAGTCTGCTCTAAATGTTGCTCAAAATGTCAGGATTTATCAACGAACGACTTGGTTTTAGTGCACTGCATAGAGAACAAAAACTGTTAGCTCTTTTGCATGAGTAATGGATGATTATAACAATCCATCAGAAATGTCACCTCAGAACATTCTTCAACCCTCTGATCTCAGAGCATCCGTTCCTATTATGAATTCGGTCTAGTGCTGATCATCCGCCTCAATGATTTAATAAAAAGAAGGCAGAAAAGAGCATGAAAGAAGCTTAATGATGATATTTCCGCCACTGACTTTAGTAAAGAAAAATGGAAAAGGCCAGAAAAACATGACCTTTTAACTTTCCCATATCGGATGTGTATAAATGTTATGTGAACTGCTCATCGAATAAATAAACCTGTTTTGTAGCACAAACCTCGGTACAACCTCGTAACATTGTCGGTATGTAAATCACACAAATTCGGAAGATATCTAGGCCTTGATTAAAATTCTCTTCACCAACATTCCTGAACGTAAGACCATTTTGCGATAAAAACTTTGAAATTATGTAATAAATGAAAGACTAGCGATTTCACGATCATAAAATGCATTTAGAGTTTCAATAATGAGTTGGACTGACAGGATCTTAATTTTTCTACTATCGGACTTTCAGACGTATTTACTACTGAACCGTAAAGAGCAAAACAAGGAGTGACAGGACTGATCTAAACAGATAGTTTAATTTTCCTTAAGACCTTTTATTATTAGCGAACGTGTCGCGTTTAGGAAATATTAGAGACTACTGTAAACAATTTCGCGCACATTGCGTTTAAACCAAGGTAAATATAAATAGCATCAATTTTTCTTATTTTACCAAAAAAAAACTAAATCCACATCTTTTATAATAATTTCAACATGAGCACAACCACAACCTACCCTGGCCAAGACAGTAAGTTTCAGTTTCGTAAATAGTATTTCGACTTATAGCCCTCCTTACTAACTTTCAACTTCTAGTCCTTATCTCCTATCTAAAGAAGAAAAGAGGCAAATCATCATATCGTGGGTTTTTAAACCTACATCACGATGTCATTCTTTCTTTTTCTATTCAAAGGACTGGCGTGACCTCGACAATACTTGGGCCGGACGATTTCTGGAAGAAGGGACAATTAGAAGAAGCGGGAAAATTGCTATTGAGTAAAACGGATTTTGCAGATTTAACGGAAAAGGTGCGTTTTTTTATTTTGCAAAGGAAGGGTAACTCCTAGTTGACTCCCATTCTGAATTAATGGGGTTTGGCTCAGGAGAATTACTGGACTTGAATGCTTGGTTAGTATTGACCCCAAGTCTTCAGTTCAGGTGCCCCTAACTTTGTTGTTGGTAAAAGTCCGTTGGTTCCAGAGGAGGAATCAGCTATGTACCTTCCTTTATCACTAAATAAAAGCTGTGCACTGTTAACAATCTACGAAAGAGAATCTTGCTTCTAGTAAGTCATATTTTATCAAATTACATTGCTCGTTTTTCATGTTATGTTATAAACTTGTACTCGATAACCATTAGAGCCTAAGAGGAAAAAGCGTGCAACAGACGCTGGAGTATTGTTAGCAATACCTCCACCCATTTATTATCCTGACCTGAAAAAGAGTACAATAACAACAAAATCAAGTACTGCACGCACTCCAGATCCAGTTAGAAGCTGGACATCATTTGTCGAAAAAGTTGAATCTCATGAGTTTGATAAAACTCTTAAACAAGGTAAGAAACCAGATTTTCGTCAATATGATGATGTAGATGATATCTCAAACGAAGAGGATGTGAGACAGGCATTGTCCGTGAATATGTTTGAAAATCTTAATAATATTACAGTTTCACGCCAACCAAGAGAGAAATTCAAGAGAATTTCGACAGAGGATAATGTTAAGGGAGAGCCGGACTTCATTTACAAACAACGTGATAAATTATTGTTAGCGGTTGAGGTTAAGACTTTTTGGGTATTAAACTTAAAGGTTTGTGAATCACTTGCTGAAAAATATGAAGATGATATTGAGAGAAAATATAGCAGAACAATACCACCAAACTCTGGCAAAGAAATTTCTGTCGTGGATATTTTACGTCAGGTTTTTGGGTATTTGGTCGTCAATAATTTGCAGTATGGAGTTCTCTCAACGTATAATCAAAGCTGGTTCCTCCGAAGACCCAAGTATGAGCCACGTGCTCTTGAAATTTCCCCCACAATAGATGTACGGTCACGGCATCCCACATTATTTCAGTGCTACGCTTTTGTGCAGCATCTAGCAAGGGTAGATACCAATTCCCCTAGTCCAGGACCAACGCCGCCATCATCACCACCACCAAGTGATGATGACAGTTTTGAAAGTTCTGATAATAATATAGACTCAGGATCTGATTATGAAGAATCTTTAAATTCTAAACAAAAACGAAAACGAAGATCTAAAGGAAGATAAATTGCATTCTGCGTAAATGATATTAACTATATAATAGCTAGACATTATGTTATCGTTCCACAATAAAAACAATGTATGCACTTATCAATGACTAATTTTAGAAACTGTAAATAAAACTATAGCACAAACATGCGAACCTGATTATACCATATTATAACTTGATAAAAAATCGCTATAAATCGCTATACATCGTTAAAATATTTAAATCTATGGCTTAGGTCATCTAAAAGGCAAACAGTCCGAATTTTTTTTTTGCCGATCACAGACCTATCACATGATCTTTATCCAATTAAAAATCATCACGTGAATTAAAATTGTCACATGATTAAATATCAAATCATTAATTTATTGAGTTTAATTTATTAAATTTTTTGTATTAAAATAATTTATTTAAATAACTTATCATTTCTTATAAATGAGTTAAACAATTTATAACTTACTCAAATCCTATGCTAAATTTTCCTTTCTTATTCCGGTTTGTGTTTTTCAATATGGCTTTTCTTTTGTTAGACTAAGGCATGCTTAGAAAAGTTTAAAATTTAATGGTAAAAATAAAAAATAAGTCTATTATCATCATTATTATGTTACAAATTTTTATATGAGTATATTCATTTTATTAGACAAAATCGATGTCACATGATAAATCTCATATCTGAAATTTAAGTATTTTATAAGAAAATCGTCAATTTTCAAATGCCTAAGACTCAAAATTTTTGTAATCAACTAAAGATTTGAAACTGTAACTTTTATTTTTTATTATCTATACTATTATTATTACAGATTGTTTTTTATATCATGTAAAACAAAAGTCTTAGGATTTTGAAGTTAGACGATTTTATTTCTATTTATAAATAACTAGCACTATAGTAATATCAATACTACTTTAGACAACACTAGTCGAAATAGTCCAAATTGGCTAAAAATCAGATAGCTAATTTTAAGCTGATTTTAATACTATTTATGACTGATTTACCATATTTTCTGATTGGCACAAATAGGTGTTGATAGATACCGATTGACTTCAATCAGACATGACCATTCAGCATCAATTTAGAACTTAAATTCAACTATAAATCAGCCTAAAATTGATCTCAATTTAGCAATAATTTAGACGTTGATAGATGCTGATTGACTCCAATTAGACATAGCCATTAGAACTTAAATTCAACTATAAATCAACTTAAAATTGACCTTAATTTAGCATCATTTGACATTAATTCAGAACTTAAATAACATAAATCAGCCTAAAATTGACTTCAATACAGTATCATTTGGTATTAATTTAAAACTTAAATAACTATAAATCAGTTTAAATTGATTTTAATTAAGTATTATTCAGCATCAATTCAGAATTTAAATAATTATAAATCAACCTAAAATTGGCTTCAATTTGATATCAATTCAGTTAAATAAGCATATAAAATCAATATATTATATTTATTAAATTTATTAAATATTATGATTTTATTAATAATAAAAACCTAATATATTTCACAAAAACATAACATAAATATTACCAAAACCTATTGATTAATTTCTTATCTAAAAAATATAAGTAAAAAACAGAAAAACCATATAAAATAATAAAAATATAATCCA